CCTGCGAGGATAGTGGTATAGATTTGATCCCGGCTGATGGGCCGTCTGATCTAGAGTATGCAGACGACATCGGGCTGCTAAGTGAAGATCCGGGAAAGTTGTAAGCATTTCTGGATAACTTGAATACCAGTATAGCCCTATTCGGTATGCGTTTTGCACCTACAAAGTGTAAAATTTTACCACAAGACTGAGTTGGTTCCAGCACCCAGCCTCACTCTAACTGGGGAAGTAATAGAGCAAGTGGATAAGTTTTGCTAGTTAGGCAGCTACATCTCACCTGGTGGATGCATCAAGGATGAAGTGTCAGCTTGCATACATAGGGCTCGATTGGCATTTCCCAACTTGAAACATCTGTGACACCGTCACGACATTCGGCTATCTCCAAAGGATCGAGTGTATGCTGCGACAGTTACGCCAATTCTTCCATAAGGCGCACAAACTTGGAAAACAGGATAAAGATAGACTGTCGGTGTTTGAACAACGCTGTCTACGCAGCATTGCACGAATCCGGTGGGGCAGCCGGAGGAGTAATGCTTAGGTTAGACGCAGAACTTTAGATAACCGCGGTCACCCAGCAGACCAAGTGATCGACCTCCTTAGACTGCGTTGGTTGGGGCATGTGACCAAATAGGGTGCCATCGCGCGCTGTTTTTTTATGCAGGCAGTGGATGGAAAAAGCCAAGGGTGATGAAACTCATGCTTGACATGAGGGTACGAGAACCCTAACCAATCGGCTCAGGACCAATTCAGTCAATGGTGGACTATGAAAGTATCGTAAACAGTGAAGCTCGTGCATTGCCTCAATATCATTGCAACCTTATTCTACTGGAATGGTCCAATTTGCTCTGCGATTCTACTTTGAACTTTCCCTATTTTTCTCCTACTCCTTCATCTAAACGGACAACCAAAACAGCCACACGGAAGTGCACTGTTAATAAGTGACAAAAATTGAAATAGGCACATGGACCGCACGCGACGAGGTTGCTAAAGCGTGGATGAACTAGTGGGGAAAAACGGTACGATTATCAAAAATGCCAACTCCTGGTCTTGATTTGGGAGAGTTCCAAAACCCAAGTACAGTGTTGAAAGTTCCACACGCTCCAACATAGGGATCGCTAGCTGTTGGTTTCTGGAGCACACTTTTACGACGAGAATGTTTGTTTCATCGATCCGACACAACTGGATTCTGATTTATCGAAGTCTTTTTGAGTCACTTATATTTCTCTTGCTTGTCAAATTTTTCTGGTAACATTGCTGGTGCACAAACGTTGGTGTAACATATCTCATGTATATTACGTAAATTTTACTGCGGCTGGCTCCTGGGAGAGAATAAGCCGATTTCATGGATATTCCATAAAACCTCTCGGGAGGTAGATACACACGTCCACAGCGTCAGCCGGCTTTAGGTTAAGGTAGGATTTCTAGCCTTCGCACATCCAAGTGTTAATTGTGCAAGGGAGAGGGAAGTTAGCGTATGGTTGCCGATGGCCCTATGGCGGAGGGGATACTCATACGCCATTCACAATTCCTAGCTGAGTGGAGGTCCATGCATACCTGGTGAGTACGGAGTCATTGCCTTGACCGTTGAGGCATGTAAGCGACTTCGTCCGCCCAACGCGCTAGTACCGCGTTCATTCGTGAGACACTNAGACACTGATTCGCTGGAAGTTGAGCTCCTGGTTACCGTCAACCGCTTGTCGAGCAGTTTATCGGGGTGTGTCTGATGTTGTATCCAGAAAGCTTTATGGAGCCACAGGTGAGAGCCGTGTGCCTTGTGGAGACCAAAGGGTCCGACAGTCCTCAGAAGCAGAGGTACTACTCTTAACGGGTACCCAAACCACTCCCTCCTATATACATATTAAAAGCTTTGTCTGTCTGATACCATTTTTCGCGTATGTGCGTAAATATACGCATGCACGCTTAGCTACATAAGAATTTTTTTTCGAAGACGGAGAATGAGATATGAGAGTTTGGTGCACTTGGGATGCAATACGCTTTTGCTATTCAGCCATAGTTCAGTTAGATTCCATCATTGCTAATCCGAACGACTTCAGACCGAGACGCCCCGTCAAGGTCGCTTGACGAGGCCTATGAGCACGAGGAGGATGAGGACTTGATCACTTTTCACAGGACTGCTAGCTTATTGGGTGAGATCAAAGAGCCACGTAACCTAATACAGAATCTAGAATCGGGCGGGGGGAACTATTGCAGACCAGAAGAGTGTGTGAATGAGCTGGAAACACCAATTCATCTTTCTGTGAGATTCAGTCCCTATATTCAAGATGATTATTTGGTGGCCTTGCATAACAGATGACCGGTTTGCTAGTTCGCATTAGGCCTATCCATACAGACAATAGCATTCAACCGCGGGGATGTCGGTGAGTGAGGAGGGGGGGGGGCAAGAAACATTCACGATGAACTTCAAGCGGACCAGTTGAATCAGAATCGATCGTCTCGAGGATAAGAATACGTAGGGGAACGATAGAGAGAGACACATACACATGTGAGCCTCGAGAACAGGACATTCGATAGACTTCGCATGTGTTTGAACGACGGGAAACAGGAAGATGAAAAAGAAGAACTCGTTGGAGAAGAGGCAACGAAAATGGTCAAAAGTAAAGGGAGGAGTGGGATTAGAAAACAAATAAACACACACACGCGTGAAAAAAATGAATTAAGATACAAAGAGCGAGACGAACGTGTGTTTGTATAAATGTGTACGAACGATAGATAACATTGCCAATGAGCGCGCAATACGATGAGATAAGAAAACACAATCATTCAAGACAAAAAAGTAAGATTAAACGAGAACGATAGACAGATGCATGTGTGTTGGTGTGTGTGAATTAGCAGGCGTGGGAGACATCACAGATCTACGGATAGAACACGCACGTAGACGCCAGCAACACGGGGGTCAAAGGGTCTGAACAGCGTTGATCAAGTGAGTTGGAGATTGTTTGGGGAGAACCGGAGGTCGAGCTCCGACAAAAATACATGCGTAAAATTACGATGCCCATGGTTAACTGTGCCGAGAATGGACAAGCTCATAGCGAGAACCAAAGTATTGATTTGGAAGCGTGATTCTGAATGGAACACACGGCACAGAACGAGAGAGAGAGAGACAGTGAAATGAAATCAAGATCAAAACCATGGTTCGGGGAGTAAACAGAACATAGAACAGACGAAAATCCGCGGTTGCAATCCTGATGGACCGAATTGTGCTGGTGTGCGGCGAATTTCATGTACAAAAGGCGAAAATCAGGTGGACACAAAATTTCCCGCGCGCGCGCGCACACACACACAGATCGGAGGAGAGAGCTGGTGCGACTCGAAGCACGAATACAGTGAATCAGTGAGTGAACGAATCCACGCTGAACAGACCGATCGCATTTGGTCTGTTTGAAAGAAGGAGAGAAACAAATCAGTCCGATGTACAAAAACAAAACAAAAAACAAATTTGTTCAGTAAACAAACGCATCCGGACCACGGTAGAACAATGGGCCACAACTGTGATGGAAATGAATTTGGCGCACGAAATCATGTATGTGTGTGTGTGTGTTGTCTGCAGGAAGAGGGTGGGGTGGGTGAATGGGCCGGGAACTGGGAGATGGTGACAGTGGGTAAATGCATATACACGGACTAGAGACGAGGTGAACGCGTGTGTGTGTGTGCAAGTGATGGAACAGATGACAGCCTGTGGCGCTAGGCAGCACAGTATGTTGTGGATACACGAGATACACGGCACTGTTTACAGACAGTTTGAAAGAAACGAGAGGCAAAATTGTGCATGGTAGTTGGGACCGGGGAGGTGGATGAATCTACGAGCATCGAACGAGGAGTGAAGATTGTGCGTCACAGATGCGGGGGACGAAAGAAAGTGGAAGTACGCACATCAGAAGGGGATTTGTGGAAAGAATCCGGTTTGATTCGACATCATCATTATGGTCATCGTCATTCGAGAGGGACGGAAGTGCGTAGTGTGAATTTCATCTTATTGGTTAGCCGAATAACCGGGATCAGATAGTCGGATGGACGGGCACCGAGGAGCGGGGTTAAGGTGGGGTGCGGAGTACACAATATTGCTCATCACTACCACCACCACGACCACCAATGTCGCAGTCATGACCACCATCAGTAAAACCAATGAGAACTGAAGTTCGACCAATGGAGAGACACATCATCAGAACTGACTGAATGAGCCTTGAATGCGTAGGAACTGTAGGAGATAGAAAGGGATGAAAGGCACCAGTTATCAATGGAAAAGGTATCAATTCGTTCCACCCGAAAACTCGACTATGAGGATATCCAATAAAAATGCACACTTTCATCAACACTATGCAATTCATGCCTAGTGGTTTTCGACAATCGATGCTTACGTAGTCTTGCCCAGATGGAATAGACTGAGCTGGTTAGTAAGCCAGAGGTAAGTCATCGGGTGTTTGGCAATGCACTGAACACGAAATTAATTCTTGGGAGTTAGTTGGTTGGGACACGTTTCCCGAACATACGACGGCAGTACAGACGTGGTGATGATGATGATGAGTGCTACATAATCCAATAGCAATCTATGTGCATCACATCTTAGTCAATTTGTACAAGAACAGCAACAGGAAAATGATGCCATCTTTAGAGATCACACAGAGAGATAGGGAGCATGTGCTATACAGCCAACTTTTTCCCATAGAACACAGAAAAGAAAGAAACCGAGCAGATTTCAACCGTGTGTGCACCACTCGTGAAATGTGTGATCCCTAAGGCGGGTCAAATCCGTGCACGCGCTCCTACTTAGCTTTCCGATTAAACGGCGGGCCAGGTAAATTTGAGTGTCCGTGAGAGAGCAAACAGGTTTAAAAAGTGCCAATGAAACGTGATTCACTCGAAACATGAATAAGTCCCCGGTATCAATAAGCCTCAGTATGGTCGGGAGGTGGGTGTCTCGGGTGGCGGCTAGTCACCATTCCCTTACGCCTAACAAAATGCTTCTGCTCAGAAAGCCCTCCTTACTCAATGCCTTCCCGTGACGCGGAGGTGTCTTCCCACCACCAAAGTGAGAGGACGAAAAGCCAACATCCGGGTTCGTGAACCACTGGCAGTTCACCTGGCTAAAAACCCTGATTCCAAACCAACCAAGTGAAGGCATACAAGCCACACACTACCTTCCTGGTTGTGGCAGTGGTCACCGGCTCCATTGAGCATCAAGGTGTGTTGAGAACCTTGAACGTTTGACCCCGTCCAAAGAAGGTATAATCCAATGAATTGGACATCAGCCCCCCCNCCCCCCAAATGGACTGCGGACTCGGAGCTCCGTCCTGTTGTCTTGCAGGTCTGGCTTTCTAGGCAAAGGCTTCGGGTGGGTACCCCGAGGTAAGCCCCCTTCTTTGACCAAGGCAACCGAAAATTAACATGCTCACACAATCTATGAATACGCACTCTTCAGATTTCTTTTTGTTCACATTTGTCAGTTATTTGTAATTGATTACATACGATTGCATAAATCGACGTGAACAAGAAAAAACAACGGACCGATTTACACACACACACACACATACACAGGAAGCGAGTTGGACGCCTTCGAAAAACATGGATACAAGCACACTGTATAATTATTGACTGCACTACTGACCTGGATCACAAGTGACGGTCCACCGGCGACCACTTCGACTGGAATTTTGGTCAGCGGGCAATTCTCAATAGACATGATTTGTAAGTTGCAACACAATGCCAGTTCTGTGGGCAAATCTAACAGGTTTGTGTTGTCGTTCAGATAGAGAGTTTCCAATTTTTGCAAATCACCTGTGAACAAAGAGAACGGGGGGGGGGG